TTCCAGTATCGTTATTTTTCAAACGGGGGGTATAAGAAAACTTTCAAGTTTCATAAAATCCAAAATCTTTTTATTATAAAAATATTCCTTCCTATTTATCTAGAGATTATAAAGACTCTTACTTGATGATTTATCCGAGACAGTTATTCTTTGATAAATTTACAGGTATTTTGAAACAATTTCTTAAATTATAAATTAGCTTTTTTCAAACCAAACAAAGATTTGTTTTTGCAGAATTTAATCTTTATGATTTAACTATTTTGGACTTTCATTGTTTTTAAAAGTCTAAAAATCCGTGCTCTAATGATTATGTTAATATTTTAATTTAAAATAATTATGTGTATTTAACTGATCCGGATTTCAAACTAGAGATTAGAATTTTGAAAAAACCGGGAGTGGAAAACGGGAATTGTAGCAGAAGGAACCCGGTCGGGACACGGAACCGGGAAAAGCGGGAATTTCCTATCCCTGTTTCATCTCGGCATCTTCAAAAAAGACGAGAAATAGGATCGGGAAGCGGAACAAGAGTCCCGTTCCGATCTCTATTTCAAACTACTGATGGAAATTTCTTTTTTCTTTTATCTTAAAATTATTTTTGTGTTTAGCTTCGACTGTTACGGATATTAAAATTAATGAAGAATTTAAAAGCGAGAATGAAGTTAAAGAATGTAGTATTTGTTTTGATGATTTGAGTGAACCCGAAAATAAAGATTATAAGGAAATTCAACAAATAACAAATTGCAAAGTTTGTATATAAAAATTATTTAGAATTTTAAATATATTTTTAGCATACTTTTCATAAAAAATGTCTTCAAAAATGGTAATTATTTAATTATTTTGGTAAAATTCAAGTCCGCCCCCCTTTCCTTCTAAAAGTATTAAATAATGGTCAGTCAGTCTTAGGTCTATGGGTGAGACCGGGTCCTTATTTTGGTGTCGTTTGACACAGCTCGGCGAGCTCTTCCGAATGAGCTATCATTTGCACAAAAATTTTTTATTCCAAAAAATCGCCCCTATGGTTGTTCAATTTTCAGGGGTCTGTATATTTCGGTCAAATTAAATCGGATTTTATTTAAAATTATTTGTATATTTTCAATTAATTTAATTTTGAAATTATGCTTTGAGCGACCCAAGTATTAACCAAAAATATCTTTTAATAACTTGTTGTATATAACTTCTAATTTTTACATTTAAAACAAATTACAGGTTGAAAACAAAGTTGGAGCTAACCCAGCAAACACTATATGTTGAGGGGACACATTTGGTGCGAAATTTAATTAAAATTAATTAAACAAAAAAACTGAAAAATATTTATTAAAAATGCTTAAATTATATACATATTTTTGTAGATAGAAGGAGGGTGCCCAATTTGTCGAGTAGCGGTTTTATACAAGTACAATCCATGAGACGGAAAAATAATTCCGATCATCTGTAATTCTTTCAAATTTTTTAAAAATAATTTATTTAATTTTAGAGACGAGAGAAGCTGATTTTGATGTAAAATTAAGATTGTTCATAATCGATTTTATATCAGAAAATTTTGTCATTTTAGGCAAAAATTAACAATTTTATGAAAATTTAAAAACTGTAACCGAGTCATTTTTTTAAATATTCTTTTTGCATTTATGTTTATTTTTATCAATATACCGTATTTTTTCGATTAATTCCCCTGGGGAATTATTTTTTCATCTCTTCCTTGGCGTGGGGAATTAATTGAGGGAGGGGAATTATTTGAGTTTTGGCATTTGAACGTGCAGTAGGGTATTTGGGGGTGGGGAATTATTGTTTCAACCAAACTTTTGCATGGAGAATTAATTGAGAGGGGGAATTATTCGAGGGAGGGGAATTAATCGAGAAAATACGGTATATATTTTGACCACCTCCTATGTAAAAAGAATCCCGACCGTTCACATATTTTAACACCATACCCTTATCCATTGTTTTCTATTCACATTTTACATTTACCTGTTAATGTCCCTGTAAATACTCGTTTCAAATGGCCATTTGTATTAGAGTTGGACAAGTCGAGATCGATATCGATATATCGGTCTCGAATATCGGTCTTTTTCCAATATCGATATCGGTTTTATAGATATCGATCTCGAAATCGATACCGATATATCGCCCCAAATATCGACCGATATCGATATTAACTTTACACCCCTAAAGATTGCTTTTTTTCTAAAAAATGGAAGAAATCTGGCCACTTGCCCTTTCAAAATTATAAAAATTTTTGCCTGCGGCGCTGTAAAAGAAAGAAAAAACCATAAATTTCGGAATTGCCTTAACTTTTCCTAACCCCTAGATCTGGAAATATGGCGGATATTTTAAATGGGGGATATCAAGCTTCTTGGCCTTACGAAATTATCAAAAATTCGCTTGCACCGCTGTAAGTAGGCTCGTCACTGAAAGTATGATCGCTGTAAGTAGGATCGTCGCTGTAAGTAGGATTTTTTTTTTTTCGTCGCTGTAAGTAGGATTTTTGACTGCGGCGCTGAAATTGGAAGATTTTTGGCTTAAGGATCTTTCAAAATTCTCAAAATTTTTGACTGCGGCGCTGAAATTGGAAGATTTTTGGCTTAAGGATCTTCCAAAAATTTCAAAATTTTCGCCTGCGGCGCTAAAAAATTAGATTTTTGGAGTGTTGCGCCGTTAGTTCCGGTTCCGGTAGACCAGAAGTTCCGGGATTTTTTGTTAAACATTTTTCTCTGTTCTTTTTAGGTTAGTATTAAGGTTAGTATTATTATTTCAACGAATTTTCTGGATTTAGGGGTAATAAAAATTTTTTAAAAAAATATTGGTTAATATCGAATATCGATCTCGATATCGACTCAAAACTTGCATATCGATATCGATCTCGACCATGTCAATATCGACCAATATCGATATCGGTTTTCTCCTAAAATATCGATATCGTCCAACTCTAATTTGTATATCAAATCTGGTCAGACATTTTTATTTGTCCCTTTATTTACATATTTTCCCTTCCATTTAAATGCTTTAATTTGTAAATTTTTAAGTGTAAATTAACTTATTTTTAAATATAATTTGTTTAGGTAATTCTTTAAAGGCGTTGAATTGATCCAAGAACAGAATGAAAAAAGCCTCGATTCTTTGTTTAGGGCTCAAGCGAAATACTTTTTACCTTTTTATTCAAAATTAAAAAAAAACAACAATGGGTGAACACTTATATGTTGTCACAAATAAAGAGTCAAAATGAATGTCAATACAGTGTTCCTTTCCTGCCGCTGCAGGCATGAATTTTAAGAATATTGGAAGCCAACTGGTGAACCTTCGGTTACCCGAAAATCCTCAGTTTTTCGGTTGGGTTTGAAACCGATAACCCCATTTCTGACCCAAAATAAAATTGAAAATATTTAAAAATTGTTTTAAATAATAATTTATCTGTAAGGATTATGAAAAATTCCAAAATGAAAGACATGTATTCAATTTATCTTGAAAGTTTAATATATTTTTGTTGGCCATAAAGTATCTTCATTTATTTATGAGATTATTTCTTTTTTCGTCTTGTGGCGGAAGAAAAGCACAAACAGCGTGGTCAGGTTGTGAAAATGTTCCGGGGGGACAGCCACAACGATTTAATAAACATAAGGATGGAGGTTCACATTCAAAATGTGCTTGGCATTGCTCTCCAACTAATTCTAAAAAATTGAATCTCAGATTTTTTAGTCAAACCCTTTGGAGCTCAAAAAATTGTATTCTATTTGGGAGTATCTTAGAAATTATCGCCGGAGCCCGCCTAGATGGTGATCGATCAAATTTTAAAAAAATCAGTCTAAAATTGAGGATATATAATTTGGGGGTGTTTAATAGTTCGAAAGTCTCGGTCTCAGTTCCCGAGTCGAGAAATTACTTGAGGTTTTGAGCGTCTCGGTTTTGGTGTTTTAGTATCGGAAAACAAGAAAAATTTACACCCCTAACAACGGAAATTTTCGACTCGATTCTCGAGTATTCTTCTCTATTTGAGCCGCCCACAGGGTAATAACTAGAAATCGAGCCTGGGCCTGTTCATGGGTTCCGGGTTTGATCTATTGACCTGGGCCGGATCCTGGGCCTGTAGTCCAGGAAAAACTCAGGAAGGTCAAAAAATGCCTGGGCCTGGACTCTGGGTACAGGAAAAACCCAGGCCTTGGTCAAGGCCCAGCTCGATCTTTAGTAATAACCCCAAATATCTATTTTAATTTTTGATTTCTAAAGCTTAGGATGTATAAGTATGTACTTTAAAAAATGTATACTTTTAAAATTATTAGCTCGTCCACTTGCAAAGAATTTAGTTTCCCTCGATACATTATTTTCAGAATTTTTCTTTTTCCTTTCAGAATCATCTCCAAGTTCGTTATGAGAAAGTAAAGTCATTCCTCTTTTATTATTAGAATATCCATTTTGTATTTTTAAACAAAATCCAGAACGGCATAAGCCTTCAATGCATGGTCTGTCTATTGGATGACAAGGAGAACCAAAAGAACCTTTTTTTAATATTTTATTTATTTTAAAGATTTAAATAATTTTTGGAAAATTGTGTTTGATAGTAAGCTATCGTATTTACTCGAATTAATTTTTACCCTATCCCTAGCATGGGGAATTAATTAATCGAGGGTATGGAATTAATCGAGTAAATACGGTAGTCTACTGAGGGGTCAATCTATCAGAACTTGAAGTTAACGATTTTGATTCCATCTTACACAGTTCAACGATATAATTAATCGAAAAACTATTTATGTAGATCCAATTTTATTAGACCTAGTTATGATTCATGGAATACTGTGATGTGACAGGTTTGATCCGGCAATGTTTCGGTTCAAGTAATGTGTTTGTTAAGACAATACCAAACTAGTAGGATTTGGCAATAAAACTGTATGCCCTTATGCCCTCTCAATTGGAGATTGGACAGATACTATATCTCCTTCAAACTCTCATTTATCAATATCAAGATTTTTCGAGCTATCAATCCCGAATCGTTCCTAAAGTCCGGTCTCCAATTAAAATCCATTACTATTTAAAACATATAGAAAATAATTTTTACGTTTATCAACAGCGTCCGATAAAAGTCTGGGAGTACAAAACCCATTCGAATTAGTTACCATCTCTCCACCGGTAGAATCGACACAAACACAAAAAGCACTTGCTTCTTCCATTAACAAAATACATTGGGCACCAAATTGGCATTTTTGTAAAGGATTGTTATTATTACATTGAGTGCCTATAGGGACTATTAAGCCTTTATTTTCTTCTATTTTGGATTGAATTGGGGCAGAGGGAAAGGCTCTATATTTAGATGAGGGAGACAACTGTTGAACTGAAATAAATGTTGATATATTACTATATAGAGACCTTACTATAAGATACCTATGTATATCAGGTGTAATCAGGTATATCCTAAATAAGGGGGTATAATTTACACAAACTAAAAGAAACTTAGGTGTATCTAGTATTGGATGTGTCCTCTAATGAGGTCATATTTTCAATAGAAGAATATTTCTTAAAACTAAGCGATATCCGCTATTTAAGACCACACCTCATTATGAGATAATTTTCAGCCTTAAAGGTATCTCATAGTTAGTCCGGTATTTATTTCTATTAAGGCAATTTAATCACCATTATTATTTTGGGGTTGTTGTTGCTGTTGTTGTTGTGTTTGTTGAGTATTTGTTTGGATACTAATATTTTCGGACACACAATGCCCCAAGGCATTAGCCACCGTTCTAGGGGGACAAGCACAAACTTCAAATAAGCAGTCAGCACCGGGTACACATTCAGAAGACTGTTTACATCTCTGGCCTAATTTTAACCTTTGAGGCTCTTCTTTTTTGCCTCTAAGGGTGTTTGGAGTTTGTTGGGGTTGTTTTTGTTGTTCTGCTGATGATGCACGAGGCTTAATTAAACCTGGATCCATAAGAAGCCCGTTAACACAAGATTCCTTATCCAAACTAGGTGAGTAGCCTGGAGGGCACTAAAAGGAGGAAAAATATTTTTGAGAGATTAAAGAAAATCTTATTGACTTGGCAAACGCCCAAAATGCAGGAAGAGCCGCCCGTACAAACTGTGGAAGAAAAATCACAACTTTCAGAGGGTCGTCTGCGTTGTTTAACTGATGGAATAATTATAGATGAAGGTTGTTGGAGTTGTGGGGTTGGTTGTAATGGTTGGATCTTTGGAATATTTAATAAAAAAATATTTTTAATTTCTTGGCACATTTAAAGAGAGGAGTGTTGATTCTACGTAATTTAAGGGACATTTTTTGGAGTTTATACTTAAACTTATAACTTTTATAAGAATTTCAACAATAAAATTAATCTCTATTGGCTGATTGAATGAAAATAATGAAAACTCTAGAAAAACACTCCACTCTTCAAAAGTGCCACTTTCCTTACTTGTGGTTGAGGTGGAGGAATAGTTACTATATATGGAACACATTGTCCTCCAACATTATGCTGTCCTTGGGGACATGAACATACGCCATCTGCACAGATAGACCCGCCAGAACAGACTTTGTCACAAGTACCTGTATATTCACAACGAGGGTCACAATTCTCTCCAGGAAGTACTTAAAAATAAAATATTTTGTGTCAATATTACTCCAGTTATAACATTAACACAGTTGAATAGCTAATAGGGAGGGGAGTGAAGGAACATGTAGGGCATGTAAGAGGGTATAACCAGAGTTAATTTATCCCTTTTCTACTCACATTGCACAACACCCGATGGAAAAGGAGGATATGTTGCTGTAGCAGGAACATAAGGTTGTGGAGGTTGTGCTAAAGGTGTGTAGGGAACACAAACAGATTGTTGAGGATAATAGCCATAATCTAAATAAATTTTCAATCATTTTGGAATTAAAATAATGCTTAATAATCTTAACTAACAATAAGACCCACCGCACGCACAAATTCCTTGAATACAAGTAGCTCCTCCACTACAAGGTTGTTGTGCATTTGTCCCAACTGCGCAGGGATAACCGGGGATTCCAGTATTGCTAGTTATTGTTGGAGAACTTAGAGCTTAAAGATATAATTATTGAAATGTGTAGAGTGACGGGAACATAGGTATGTGGGGTGAAAGGAGCATGACATGTAAGTTGAAGGCGAGGTCGATCGGAATTCCGAGTTCCGACATTTTTTTCCTTCCGATTTCCGAAAATTTAGGCTGATTTCCAACTTTTGAGCCATTTCCGATTTCCGACAGTTCCGATTTCCTACACCTTCGTCAGTTCCGATCGACCTCTGGGTGAAGGAACATACAACGAGGGGAACATTATGAGGTAGAGGAATATAAGTTCCTAGTATATTGAGAGAAATATTTACGTTGTACAATAATTGCTGAGACTGGTTGACAATAAGTTCCAGACTGGGCCAAAATTGTGTTTGAAAGGCATTGACAACGGCCAGCTTAAAATTATTTTTATTGAAAAATACTTTTTCCTCTACCTTGGCAAACAGAATTCCCTAAACAAATAGTTGTTGGTGTACATGTTTGCATTGGAAGTTGGGTGGCAAGTGAAACAGAGGCACATTGACCGTTTAAAGGAACCTCAAAATTCTTATTTTTTGGTCTTTAATCAAAAATTACTTGTTGCTGTGGACAAGTACAAAACCCTGCCGTACAAACAGAATTTCCAGTACATTTTGTTAAACTGGCAATACAAGGCTCCCCTGGGCCAGCTAGAAAGATTAGTAATTTTTTAAAGAAATTAAAAGAAAAAATAAAAAAAATAGGGGGAGGGAACAATGGATGGTGGGTGAAAGATGTCCCTTTCAGGATGTTCCTTACGACCTATAATTCAAATTTTAAACACATTACCAATAGAATTAACAGTAACACACATCTTATTTTGAATCGGTTCCCCATTTGGACAAACACAAAAACCGTTAGCACAAACAGAATTACCTAGGCATTCAACCTTTAATTTATAACAAAAAATAAAAATTTTTTGAATTTTAAAAACTTGTGCTATAATTCCAGGAGGGCGTTCACAGCTAGCTCCGGGTTCGACTTGATAGTTTTAATTAAAATTATTTTTAAAATCCTTTTTTAGAGATTTACCATATATTTTAGGAACAATACATTCACCGTCACGCTCTTCATACCCTTCTGGACAAACACAATAGCCATTAAAACAAAAAGAACCGCCTGTACAAACTTGGGGGTTATGGCGACAATTAAGGCCTGGGGACTCTTAAATTAAATTTTCTTTGAATAATTTTAACCCTTTATCTAAACAAACTTTTAACTAAACGCTTCCCGTCATTTCCAATTATTAAAATTGTGCTATTATAATAATTCTTTCCTTCCAGAATAACACTAAAAATAAGGGAATATTAAGTTATCTCGTATATTTTTATGACTACCAGCTTCTTTGTTGGGGTAAATAACCTTTTGGGCATTGACAAACGTTTTGTACACAAGTAGCCCCTCCATCACAAAAATCACCTGCTGCACAATTATAGCCAGGATTGATTATTGGATTTGCTACTAAAATATTTTAAATAACGTCTAAGGGGTTGTTAGTATTTCCTAAACATAATCCAGGTAAATTGAGAGAAGGGTCTATAGGAAATATTCAAGACTAGAGTTGAGGGCCCGATCCGAAAGATCGAGTCGGGCATTGAATTTTGTCCCAAAAAAACTAGGTCGGGCCGGCCCGATAAAATGAACGAACGTCGGCCCGACTCGAAAACCCCAACCCTATTCAAGACCTCTTTTAAATGGTGGAGCCGAAAAACAGAAGACGAAATGGAAAGTCAAAAAATTCGGAATCTGCAGGGAGCGAAAAGCAAAAGAGGTCGGATGGAAATGCCAAAAGTGTCTACTCACTTTTAGATCTAGGAAGGCACAAAGAAGTCCCTGCCTGAACAAATTCCTCAACACAACGACAAAATCCATGTAAACAGTTTGCATTTCCAGAAGGACCACAAATTTGCCCCTCATTTTGACATTCATGCCCTAATTGTATAGAAGAAGTTTGACCATTTTGTTCTTCATTTTTTAAATTTTCTTCTTTTGGTAAAATTGTTAATCCTTCAGAGAATTGCCCAGTTTGAGGGTTTGGTATTTCTGGTTGGGTTTGTTGTTGAATTGAATTTTGGGTTATTGGACTAGAATTAAAGTTAGAAAATTTTTATTGGGGTGATTGAACCTTCCCTAGTGTGGATAAGTAACAGTAATTAGGGTTGCTGTTTTCGAGTCGGACCGACCGTCGAGCCATTTTTTTCGTGCCTCATTTTTATCGAGTTGGGCCGGTACGAGTCTTTTTCGGGCCAAATATCTTAGGCCCTTTCGGTCCGAGTCGGGCCATTATGGCAACCCTAATAGTAATGTTATTTCAAAAAATCATAAATACTGTGGACCTCGGAGGGCCACGCTAATAGAGATTATCGTTAACTAGAAGAACCACTCAATTAAGATTTATGGTAACCTAAATGTTCACTACTCTCTACAAGTAGTGTGTAGGGGACATATAATGCTTATCAGTTGTTTTTAACATTTTTTCAATATCACAAAATATATTTACCTGTTTTTCAAGTCTACAGGCATCAATTTATCCTTATTCCCTTCATCCCCCAAATTATTTTGATTTTCAATATTATTATTAAATTCTGACGGCAGAGGACGTTCTTCTCTTTTTCTTTTAGACGAATTTAAAGGCAATGATCTAGTGTAATTATTATAAAAATTTCTCTAAGATCCAAAAATCTGTCACACCTTTTTCTACGATATTGCAATCTTCTCTTTTTATTTTTCAACGAATATTGCTTCTTTAAATCTACACAAACACCCCCAATTGCCATTTTCCCCTCTAAATTTAAAATTTAAATTTTTGTAAAATAAAATAGTCGAACGTGGACAAACACAAAGTTGACGTTTCAAATCACAATAAGCCCCACCAACACATTGATTGTTATTTTCAGAACAAGGGCCGAGGGTGTTGGAAGGAATGAGGACACATTGGTCTGCTTGGATAGTCATTCCTAATTAATTTTGTTGAGAATTTGAAAAAAGCAAGAAAATTCGGGAAATTTACCAGCAGAGCATTGACACGTTCCTTCCACACAATTAGAACCCCCAGAACATATTTCACCGTTTAAACAAGATTCTCCAGGCTTGGCTAAATTTAATCGTGTTCTAATAATTTTTTGTTTAAATTAAAACCCACCAGTTTGGGCACTTCGACAAACACCGTTAATATTAGTTGTGGGTGCTATACAAGTGCAAACCTTTATTTAAAAATTTTTTTTTGTTTATTCGAATCTCAATATAAGATGATCCAATATTAAATATTCTCTACAATTTAAATAACTTTTTAAGGGTGCACCTCGATGTACCGCGAGGCCAATGCACAGCTGAGAAATAACTTAATTAAAAATTACCGAATCCTGGACGCCTTGGCATGGTTCAATGACTTCAACAATCTGAACCGAACATACCAAAGCGTCCCGAATTCGACAATTTTGAACGAAATTATAGCTCGGCGGTACATTGGCATGCTCGTCTTTTTCAATAAAACTGGGTGTGGAGGCTATCCAAGCTCTTATTAAAGATCGAACTGGGAGTTGTTCGAGAGCTCGTCCCAGTTTGAACTCTACGTCTTATAAGATACAATTTATTTCAGACCCAGAAAGTAATCTAAGAACGAGTTTCGAATTTATTAAAAACACTATATTTTATTTTTGAAAATTCTCTCCACCTTATCAGTTTGATCGCAATATGAATTTGGAGGGCAAGCCTCGCCTAAAGCACAAGAATCTCCGGCTAAAACTGTCTCCGGACGCTTAAAAATTAATTTTAAAAATATTTCTTAAATTCTTTCCATTCTCACCACGCACTGCCCACTCTGTGCCACAAAAGGAGAGGGGCATGTACAAATTCCTTGTACACAAACAGCAAAGTTTGTACAAACTCTAGTAGGAGAACAACTCTTTAAAAAAAGATTTTTTAATCTTAGAAAATTCCAAAAGAGCCACCTGACCAGCGCCAACTTGTGTAACTATTGAACATTCACTCTTAGAAGGGAAAATAAATATTTTTTTAGT